CAGCCCACGGGAGAGGGGACAGGGCACCAGAACGCCCAGGGGAACCCCTGCACCCCTCCATGTGCCTCCCGTCAGACTCTCAGGACTCCCACACGCTGCCCGCAGGGGACGGGGGACCCTGCTCCCCTGTCCTCCCGCTTTGGGGACCACACGCCCTCCTGTCCTGGGAGCCGTGTCCTCCTGTGGGACCAGCACCTCAGCCCAGGGGTGTGGGGAGCGACGGGAACAGATGCGGAGTTTCCAGGCTGGGATGAGCTGTGACATCCCACCTCTCAAATGTCTCCCAACGCTCACATCTGCCTGACGGGGCTCGGGGGGCTGACTCGAACGGGAACCGGGGGGGCGGGTGGGAAGGGCTGAGATGAGCTGTGCCAGGGGCAGCCAGGGGCCAGCGGGGGAGCCTGACTCATCCCGCACCCACACCAGCTCCCCACCAGCCCCGGGGTTCCTGGCAGAAGCCATCCCCAGGAAGAGATGAGGCACTCGTGGGCACGGCACTTCTGGGCACCGGCCTTCCCACGCTTTGGGAATTGGCCTGTGCCGCTCTGCAGGGAGGTGGGTGAGATGGGTGTCAGTGCCAAGAGAGGGCTGTGCCCGAGGTGGGGTCCCAGACAGCCCCTTCACTCCTGGCTGGCTCCTGAGCATCCTTCCTCAACAGCTACCAGGTCTGTCCCGCTCCTTCCAGTGAGGAGCTGGGCTCAGCCATCCTTCCAGGAGGAAGAGGAGGGCAGGGATGGGCCTGGCTGGTACTGAGCACCACCCAGCTGCCCTTGCAAAGGGCTGTGCTGCAGCAGGGCTGGGGGTGTCACCCCCGCCCACGCCAGCAGCAGGGCATGGGCTGGGTGGGCTTTGCCCTGTGGTCTCACTGGGGTTATGGTGGTGGTTGTTGCTCCATCACCGCTGCGGAGCCACGTGTGGGGAAACCCGGCTCCTCCGCCCACCCCGCAGCAACTGCCAGGTCCCCTCTCACAGCCCCCTGCGTTTCCTTTCCAGCTCTGAGTCACAGCAAGTCACCTCTCGTGGGGAGGAGAGACGAGGCCCTGAGAGCTGGCGGGCTGCTCAGGGCTGCAAAACCTCGAAACAAATCAGCACCATCACAGCACCCAGCCCTGGCCTTCCCCGAAGGACGTGGGGACAGGGGCATGGCTGTGTGGCACAGAGGGT